ATAGGTTGTTATATTGCAGTTGTCGTTGCACTTTTTGAGCAGTCTTGAGCACGAGCATTAGTTTATAATAGCATACAACCAAGTCTTGTTTCTTCATCTTGGAGATGTTTGATAAAAGACCAAATATTTCGATGTTATCTTTGAAAAGGTAGGTTCAGACGGCCGTGAAAACCTACTTAGGATAAATGATGAATGGCAGAATAGTTTGAAAGAAGAGTTATCTTAGTAGATATTATTTGTACACAGACTATATCCATGGTAGCATTCCAAAGTGCTAATGAAATATTTTTCATTCATTGATTGTCGAAATGCAAAAATAATTGATGTAACATTTTTCTGTTATTGTCGGATGAATTCATACATAATTCATCAAATGCTAGTTAGACTTTGTCAAATAGCAACAGTACCGAAGCCATTGGTTTTCGAACACGTCTACGATTATGAATATCTTCGACATAGTTTGTAGTTAAATCGAGATACTGTATACGTCTATAACTCTCGCTGTGGTTTAGTACAAAGGAAAAGCATTCTTTTTCTTCTTCGGATTAACATGTCACGAGCTAAAAAGTTTTCGTTATTGTGAGTTGTTTGGTAGGGCTCAGATAACATCGGTGTCATTTTTCATCTAACATATACCAAACCTGATTTTAAAATGAAATTTATAATATACATATAAATGTACTAATGATATAGTGTTCTTACGTAATTCACGTGCTAATGGCTTAATTGATTATGTGCGGTGTTATCTGAGATGCAAAAATTTCTTCTTGATACATCTCTATGATTGCAGTTGTTTCTTTCATTACACACTTTATTTTCGTACGACCACTTTTTAATAGCATGTTTTCTCCATATAGCAAATAATTATGATTGTCAGTGATTCTCAGTACAATGGCCTGAATGTTGGTGTGTATGTACATACTGCATTCACCTGCTTGACAAATTCAATAGTTTTTTGTTTTCTTTTCTGTTTTGTTTAAAGATACTACCATTTAAAACTAGTAAAGGCTTGCCTTTATTCAACACAAGAAAATATGGATTATCATTAGTGATTGATATTTAATAAATTACTATGAAATCTATAATGAAAACTCACTGATATCTCGATATTAAATAATCAATTTTTTCAGATGATTCTTTTGTTGTTTTTTTTACACTTTTCATTCGTTTTATTGTAATGATCGCATCATAGAATGAAAAATTATCAAGAATGTCGTATAATGTAATGCTAGATACCAATAGAATAGAATTCAATAGTACATTGTATATTTGAACCATCTTTAAACTTTTCAAACATTTTTATACGTTTGATATTTTTGTCTTTCCATCATTCTTCTTCGACATTTTTTTTGTGTCGACCTTTTTTGTTTTGGTCTTTTCTACTTATACCAAAGTGCTTATTCGTTTCTCCTTTCAAGAAAAAAAAACAAATTGATTTGGCAATTGGCATATCGGCACATGCGAATAGATTGATTTCTGTGTTTCATGTAGAGATCAATTTTAATGAGTATTGCCATTATCCGGTCGTAAAATGTCGTCAATTGAAATACAAAAAAGTAAAAAAACACACATATAAATACGACCTTCTGATAATGGAGAAAGTAAAGGATTTAATAACAACATCGTTACATAGAATGTGAGGTTTATCAATTTATTTTGAAGAAGAACGTTAACCATATCGATTACTTATTGGGCAAGAAACAAAATTTCGTCATGCCACTTCAACAACATATACACGAAGCGAGCAAAAAATTTCATGCTCTATTCGATAGTTTATTTGATACGCAATGGAGCGAAGCTGCATTGCCAGAAGCAAGATCCCGGTTGGCAGTTTTCGAAAAACAGGCTTGTCGCATGGAAGAAAATATTGATTTGTTAAGCGCAGCAGCTGATAAAAAATATCAAAGTTTAGTCGCGTTGAAGGAACATGGAGTCAAACATTTTTGGTATCAAATTCGAGGTAAGCTAAAACAACGTTTGGATCGGCAAGAGATTATATGGTTGCGAGAGCTTGAAAAGTGTAAAGAAGAGGAACACCATTTGTCTCTTCTCAAACAAAAAATTCACGTAGCGCAGCTGTATTTGCATCAATGCCAAAATGCCTATGAAAAATATACCAACACCAAACAAGAGCTAGAAAAATTATTCGAGTGTTTTTTTTCTGGTTCTACGCCTGTGTATCCGGACGAATTTGCAATAGAACAGAATCTAAAAGAGGAAAAAGCACATTTGGTCACTCTTCTTAACAATCACCACATTTTAACTCGTGTCATATCATTCCTCGAAAAAGCTCATCAATCTATCGTTGTTGCTCGCGAAGCATTCGGGCAAGCACTGAATATGGGTACCTTCGATTTGTGTTTTGATACTTCTTATGCTGACATGGCCGTAAAGTCCTATTTGATTCAAGCTAGAGCAGCCTCAGCTGAAGCACAACAATGCATAAATGAAGCAAGGCGTCTTAGCCCCGACATATCAAATATTGATAACTTGTGCATAAAGCAAGATAATCCTGCTTTTATTGTCTCGTCCAGCAATATTTCGACCGATACAGATGTGAGGCGAAGGATTCGTGAATTATTAGATTGCATTGTTGAAGCAGAAGCAGTTTTGGTGCGTATTTTAGTCGAAATTAAGCAACAATTTGACGAAAACGAAGATGATTGCAAAAAGGCACACGAAAATCTAAAGCGACTAGCGACTGAACTTTTTAAAACTCGAGTTGCCATTGTCCGAAGTATTATGTAGTGGATGCATCCATAATGACCAACGAGTTTATGACATCCATTGAACATTGGAATAAATATTTGTAGTTTACTTCTTTTCCTTCGTAATTCATTAATTGGACCGGCTTTTAGATTGCAGCGTACGTATTTGGCTTCCTTTTGCAATTTTTATCAACATGACATCTTTACAGCCTTCACAAAATCGAAAGTAATTCACACGTGGGTGTGACTGTGACATGAATGAGAGGACGAGTTTTAATGGAAAGCAGTTCTAATAAAAAACAAAAAACTGAAAGAACGTGAAATCTTGTGAGTGTTAGTGGATGTAGATGTTCGTGTGGTGAATGTCAACTTAACCGCTATACCATCGCTCACCCTGACCACAAACTCTACACCCATACCCTCGGTTGTAATTGATACATGAGTAACGTTTCCCAGTGAAATTGTTTTCGGACTGCTATAAGCCAATAAATGTGGACTAAGAAAAAAAGCATGCACGGATGAATTTCGCTCCTATTGTACCGTTTAAGTCAAAAAATCGAAAAGAGTGTGAGTGCGGGTGTGGGAGAATGATTGATTACACACCCAAACCCAAACTCACATTCCCACACCTCATTTTTCACAACCAAATTCTCAATCTATCACCATCAGTGATTGTAATGCGAGCAGCAAATGATATTTTCATTTTTAAAACATCACAAACATATTTCTGTTTATCTTAAGAGAAAGCAACAAGTCTTGACAACGATATTTGACATTTGTTAAGATAAAGAAATGTTAAATGAGGCGAAAGATGTGCAATTAATGAAAGTACGAGTGAAACAAGAGGATTCAGTGATGTCAAACGAATACGACCACGAGGTAAATCATCAGTTGTGCTTAGCTGATGTAGACAGAAAAATAGATGAGCAATTACAGAAGAATCTAGTAGCACCATTACATCGACATCAACATCATCATGCCAATCTCGTCCGAATGGTGACATTAAGTGAAGACGAGTGTGGGCAGTGTGGGTATGAGTATGGATGTTGGTGTGGATGTGGATGGGTGTGGATGTGTGGGTATGGGTATTAATCTCCCATTCATTCATACCCACACCCACGCACACACCCTAAATTGTTGCTTTTCTATCAACCGTATTTGAGAAAAATCGAATTTTTGATCACAATCCGATTTAGGTAGAAGTAGCTCTTGTGAAAATAGTTATAGTTTCACGTGTGTAAAAGCTACATTTTCGTTGGACATGACAAGTTGTAAAGAATTATTCGCTCTACAAATTTATCAAATCCGACAGTTTTTAGCACTTTTGCAAAGAAAGTTACAGAGGTAGCAAATGCCTGTTTGTTTGCCATTCAAAGCAATTTTTCAAGGCGTTCAAATACCCTCCAATAGGTTTTTAAATCATCTAGTATACTTTCAAGTGAGTCAAATATAAACAAAATATTGTCGAAAAACTTCGACCCAAGCGTTCCGTCCAAACTATTTATTTTGGCCATTCAAAGATTTCCTCACTACGCTGGAGTAAAGAACAGGTACACAATTTATGAGCCCATATTCGACAGAAGCACAAAACTCTAGTGTTAATCCTTAGTTTTGTGAAACACGATCTGAAAGGAGTGTTGAAGTGTATAGGGTAGAAATTTGCACCCTTTCTCCCCCTCCCCCTCCCCCCTCCTAGCGCAGACCGTGACAGACCGGATCCAAAGGCGTCACAGATCGTGACAGACCAGTTCAAGAGGTGTCGCAGACCGTGATTGACGTTATTGATATACGATCAAAAACCGTACGTCAATGAGATATCATAATAATAGATGAACTGCTTCTTTATTTTAGTTCTAGAGGATTAGGTGTAGGTGTGAGTGTAGGGTGTGGGTGTGGGGTGTGGGTGTGAGGTGTGGGTGTGGGTGTGGATGTGAATGTGGGTGGGTGTGGGGCATCCACACCCCACACCCTAGTCTTTTTAGTATAATACGATCATGATTAACTGAAACAAGAGAACCAGTTGCTACTAATTCTTGACGACCTTTATTTAACAAAAAGCAAAATTAAGTTTTTTTTTTAATTTAAAACATCGAATAAAATACCATCAGGAAATCGTTAAATGCCAAAACCGATGCAGGTAGATACGTTATTGGACCAAAACATGTTGCAACAAGAGTTTGTCGTGGCCGAAAAATATCTTTCAAACTAATTCGAAATATTCTTATCTATAATAATTATTATAATAATCAATTAGTAACAAACTTTATGTTTATCTCAATTTGAATGTTGAGACTAAATCGGTGAACTTGAAAAACGACAAAAACCAACATGAAATATAAGTCTTTCTTTTGATTTAACAGTTATTTCACTATCATTTGTATGATTTAAGACAATATTTAATACTGATGAATACTGTTCATGTGGTAAAAGACCCGTTACAAATAAATGATGAGCAGGTTCTTTAAAAAAAACAATAATAACAAGTTTTTTTTCTCGAATATTTGATTTTTTATAAAAAAAATTTTTTCTTACCAAATCTACTGATGGGCACATCTTTTTCATAAAGAGTTACATAACTATGCACCTGTAACAAATATACAAATCAAAATAAGTATTTCATCAAATAAAATCTTTGAAAAAAAATAAATCTTCGATAAATATAATTATTAAAAAGTTAATTACATTTCTATAGAACACAAAACTTTTCTTCATTCTTAAATATATGAAACATTCAAAATCTACCTGCACGAAATCATAAATTTTAACATCTATCGATTACAATCAGATTATCACTCTCTAATCTTTCTTTTTTTACTGTCAAGCTCAGTCAAAAACTTATGTTTCGCTTCAAAATTGAATAAAAAGATTTATTTGAAAAAAAAACGGAAAAAAGTCGTATAAGATAGTCAGATGTTGATTTAAATAGATTGAATTATCCATTTGATCAATCATAAAATTTGTTCTTTGATCAGAAACGACCTTATTTAGAAAAAACAATTTATTATTTGTTGATTAATGATGATAGGTCACTGTCAAAAACACTTTTTTTCTTTTCAATTCTGATCAACATCATTATTCAACATATTTGCATTTAAGAATAAAATCAATTTTTTTCAGAAATCTACAATTATCTATTTATCGTAGAATATTTCGATTTTAGTCATTAATTCGACAATATTATCAATCTACTAAACTTATTCAAAATTTAGTTGGAGAAGACGATCGCAACTACTTTCAACAAATCTTATTGAAAATAATCGGATGGATTATGTTTTACGAGTATTCGCAATTAATTAGAGATAAACAGTGTTAGATTTTAGATTTTGGTAAATAGAGACGATCGTAGTTCTGCTGAGAAAAATCGATAAAGAATTGTCAAGGAAAGAACAATCACTCTGCATCTCTTCTCTCTTTATCTGACACTCCGATAAAACTTCGATGATTAATAAATGTCAATGATGACAAAACAAATTCATTGTCAACATTATTAAATATTTGTTTCTTTTTATGAAAATCTATTCACAATAAATTTAAACATAGAACCAACTCTAGAAGAATAGGAAAAAGCACAAAAGAATATTTCTATATGATACGCACATAATCATTTTTTAAGGATAATTGTTAAAAAATTCTTCAAATAAAATCTCTTAATGAATTAATTGATTGATAAAACTACATATATACATATATTTAAAAGGAAAAGTTTAACCTGAGCATGATCCTGTTTATGTTGATTGTATTCTTGTTTACTGTCAATTTGTTTAATCATAGTACAAAAATTAAGAAATTAATAAATTCTTCCATAATCATATGATAAATTTTCTTTTGGATTCCATTTTGTTTTTCGAAAACTTTTTAAACCTTGATATCTTTATCAGAACAATAAAATATAATTAGATAAATATAAAACAAAAGAAAAACATGAAATACTTTTGAAATCTAACACGAGCCGAAACATCCATTGGTGTATCAACTTCGCCAGGAAATTGTTCATCTAATTTAGCTTCTTTCAATTTTTTTAAACTAAATTAAATATTTTAATAAAATAAATATAATCAGATATATAAAACAAACGGTTGTTTATCTTCTTCTAAATCTGTTTTTTCATCATAATTATTTCGATTCATAAAAAGTTCATCCATTTCTTCTTCATCTTCATCTTCTTCATGTTCGTGTTGATCAAGGTTAATTGATTGTAGATCATTAGCATAATCAGCCATGATTCCTTGATGATCTTCATTAAAATCCTAATATATTGAAAAAGATTTAATATTAAAAAAAAAACTAAACATTTTGTTGATTGAGAGACTGATTATCTTCGTCATCAGAAATAAACTATGCAGTTTGATATTGAGAAGTTTCTGTAGGTACACGTTTTTTAAATTGATGTTCAGATTGTTGAATATCTTGTCTACTTGGCCATATTTGCTCTTGATCGAAATTCATTGGATCTTGTTCAGCTTCAAATGCTAATCATCGTTCAACATTCGGATCAGTTATAAACGTTTTATCGACAATTGCTTTTATCATTCCATTGGACTAAAGTATTTCAAATTTTTTTATTTATTTCTTAATAAAAAATGATTGATATTACAACTCGTTGAAAACGATGTTGTTCGATTTTTTCTAATTGAAATATGGGATGGGTATGGATACGAATGAAGGAAAGATTAACATCCACACACACACACACACCCATCAGACGATTCATTTTTAATAGTATTTTCAAAATTACTCATATCAGTGAATTTTGAAGAATAACAACTGATGCTTTCATATTATTTTTATGTGCAAAAAAAGACAAGTGATGATATCACAGCAATCAAAAATGTCATAACGAGATAACTCGAGACAAAGCCCTGAGAGATACTTTAAACAATCTCATGACGCACTTACGACCTAGAAAAAGTAAAGATTTCATGGGTAGAAGAAGGTCCACATGAAATACGTTCTTGTTAAGAAAACATCCGTTTGAGTCATAACTTTGTCAAAATAAAAGTAAATCTGTTAAACTTATTTGTATATGTGATGTAGAAGTCCA